CCCCTCAAGCTCTCTAGACCTTGCTTTTCTCAATCATTTTATAAGAGGAATGGAGTATGTATAAACTGCTTTAAAGTTCATTCTGGCCTTTCAAGAAGTTGGCATTCAAGTAAGGTCTGAACCCCTTTGCCCAAATAAAATAACATTCAGTAGTTCTAGTGGCCTCTTTGCTGGAACTTACAGAAGTCAATAAAGTTACCACTAATATATGCAATGTAGAAAGTAAAAATCCATTTATTAAAACTTGTATATGAAAGGGCCACAATGTATCATAAATTTGGATGTTTGAGAAATATCCCTTATCTTTATGATTGATTTCATGTTCCTTGGTGTATCTATAAAGAAGCAAGCCATAAAGAATAAGAGGGAAGAAAGGTAATGAACGTTATATTAAATCTCATAACAGTCCTTTTAAAATAAACCTAATATATCATTTCACATGTGAAGATGCTGAGGTACAAAGAGACTGATTTGCTCAAATCATGTAAATAGTGATATTAATACATAGATTTTATCTGGTTTTAAAAACTATGCTCCTTCCTATTCACTCTGTTTTCTGTAGTTCAATTATGAATTTTCATGTATAAATATCCTTAGTTCAATTTTAATACTGAAAAACTAAAGATGCTAATTGATTTAGGATTTTCTGTAGTATTGATGATTATCAACAAGCATTTGTTGAGAACAGTATGAAGATGTATATTAAAATAAATATAAAAAACACCAAAGAATATTTTTATATTTTTATAACAACCAAGAATTAACAAAAATTATGCACAACCAAACTATTAGGGAGAAAAAAAATCATTTCAATTAGAATGATGAGGATGATTATTTTACTTTAGAGACAGGATTGTCAATAAGTTGCCAAGGATGATTTCAAACTTGAGATCCTCTTGTTCTAGCCCTTGAGTAGCTGTGAATACAGGTATGCACCACCACACCTGGTTCCAATTAAAAGATTTTAAGGGGCTAGAACTGTGGTTCAGTGGTAAAACACTTGCTTCACATGTGTGAGGCACTAGGTTTGATCCTCAGCATCACTTAAAATAAATAAATAAAGATATTTTAAACGCTAAAAAGAAAGAAAGAAGAATTTAGAAGATGGAAAAGTCCCCCTTGTTAGGCAGAATTAACATTGTCAAAATGACCATACTACCAAAAGCACTATAGAGATTTAATACAATTCTGATCAAAATCCCTATGACATTCCTCATAGAAATAGAAAAAGCAGTCATGAAATTCATCTAGAAAAATAAGAGACCCAAATAGCCAAAGTAATCCTTAGCAAGAAGAATGAAGCAGGTGGCATCACTATACCAGACCTTAAACTATAGTACAGAGCAATAGTTACAAAAACAGCATGATATTGGCACCAAAACAGACCTATAGACCAATGGTACAGAATAGAGGACACAGAGACTAACCTACATAATTACAAATATGTTATATTAGACAAAGAAGCCAAAAACATATATTAGAGAAAAGATAGCATCTTCAACAAATGGTGATGAGAAAACTGGAAATCCATATACAATAAAATGAAATTAAACCCTTCTCACCATGAACAAAACTCAACTCAAAGTGGATAGAGGACCTAGGCATTAAACCAGAGACACTGTGCCTATAAGAAGAAAAAGTAGGCCCAAATCTCCATCATGTTGGATTAGGCCCCAACTTCCTTAATAACTCCTACAGTTGGGCTGAGGTTGTGGCTCAGCGGTAGAGCGCTCGCCTAGCACGTGCGAGACCTTGGGTTCCATCCTCAGCACCACATATAAATAAATAAAATAAAGGTATTGTGTTCATCTACAACTAAAAAATAAATATAAAAAATGACTCCTATAGTGCAAGAATTGAAATCAAGAATCAATAAATGAGATGGATTCAAACTAAAAAGCTTCTTCTCAGGAAAAGAAATAATCAGTGAGATGAATAGAGAGCCTACAGCTTGGAAGCAAATTTTTAACACTCACACATTAGACAGAGCACTAATCTCTAGGGTATATAAAGAAATCAATAAGTTAAACACCAAAAAAAACAAACAGCCCAATCTATAAATGGAACAAGGAACTGAATAGACACCTCTCAGAAGATGATATATAATCAATCAACAAATATATTTAAAAATGTTCAATACCTCTAGCTATTAGAGAAATGGAAATCAAAACTACTCTAAGATTTCATCTCACTCCAGTCATTGCAGGGGGACTACAAGTTGGTACAGCCAATACGGAAAGCAGTATGCAGATTCCCTGGAAATTAAACCCTTATCTTTCCAGATTCCCTGGAAAACTGGGAATAGAACCACCATTTCACCCAGCTATCCTGCTCCTCTGTCTATGTATAAAGGACTTAAAAACAGCATACTACAGGGACACAGCTACATCAATGTTTACAGCAGCACAATTCACAATCGCTAAACTGAGGAACCAACCTAGATGCCCTTTAGTAGATGAATAGACAAAGAAAATGTGGTGTATATAAACAATGGAATATTACTTAGCAATATGAGAATAAAATCATGACATTTGCAGGTAAATGGTAGGAACTGGAAAATATCATGCTAAGTGAAGTAAGCCAATCCCAAAAAATCAAATGCCAAATGTTTTCTCTGATATAAGGAGACTGATTCACAATGGGATCAGGAAGGGGAGCAGGGGAGGATTAGATGAACTCCAGATAGGGCAAAGGGGTGGGAGGGAAAGGAAGAGACTAAAGGGGTAAAAATGATGGTGGAATGAGATGGATATCATTACCCTAAATACCTGTATAAAGACACAAATGGTGTGAATATATATTGTATACAACCAGAGATATGAAAAATTGTGCTGTATGTGTAATATTAATTGTAATGCATTCTGCTGTCATATGTAACAAATTAGAATTTTAAAAATTTTAAATAAATAAAGGATTTTAACATTTTTGTGAATTGTAACCTAGAGGAAAAATAGAAATTCCCCTGACATCTGAAAATTGAGGAAAAAATATGTGTATATTGTAGAATATATAAATACCCAGTACAGCTTCAGCTCCATAACAATCTATAATATCACCCTTTCTAACCACAATATTCTACCCTTAGTTCTTAGTATATCATCTCATTATCATAACTTATCTCTGACTAGTCCCCTGACCTCTCCATTTTATTTGAATAAATAAGCCCTTTTCCTGGAATCGCTTTTCTCTAGATTCATGGTCAACACTTGAACTACTCTTTCATTAGCACTCTCAACCTCAATCTGTGTTGAAATCTACCCTCTCTTCTTAACTCAAGGGACTGGAGAAAGCATCAAAACCCTGACACTGGTAAAAAGGTAAAGGTTTCGAATATCAGTCACTTATAAACATTTCAAATGAACACTTCCTAGAATTTAACTTATTAAATGTCTGATAATGCTGAATATCATGTCTCTTCCTGAAATTCTTGGATTTTGAACACTTGTAATGATACACTTCCCTCATATTCCTAAAAATAAACCGTGGGAGTCAGCATGTTTAAATTAAAAAAAAAATACAAAAACCTTTTTATCTAATGTTAATTTAAACATCTTTGATTATTAAACACTAGATACTTAATAGAAGGTTACTACACAAATATGTTAATATCTTATTCAGTTAGAGCAATGAAATTCTGATTAAGAAAAAACAAAGGCTGGAAGTATGGCTCAGAGGTAGCCACCCAGCCTCTCACATAACAATCAAGCAAAGAGTTACAAACCAGAGAAAGCCAAAATGTCCCCTTAGCAAACTGAATAAACATGTCATAAACATGAATGAACAAAACACGATAAAGCCTTTAAAAATATCACAAAAGTTCCCCCTAATCCTGTAAAATATTAAATTTAATAAAAGTTTTCAAAAGAAATATTTTAACATAAATTCAAAGATCATCTATATATGGCTTTATTCTTCTAATAATTATTTTTTCTTTACTTATTGAATAATTAAGACAGGGTTAAAGAAGTAGGTTCATTAAGTATACAATTTACTCAAAACTTATTCTTCTGCTACGTAAGATTTTTCAGAGATGCTACAAAATCTCATCACTGTAATTCAGAATTTACTAGTTAGAATTCTATAATAGGGCTGAGGCCATAGCTCAGTGGTACAGTATGTGCCTCCATATGCTCAAAGCCCTGTATTTAATTCCTAACATGAAAAAAGAATAAAAACTAAAACTTTTATTTAAAAAGTAATTTTATAGTAACATGAATGTAGGCCTTGGAAAAAGTTTACTTTTACGTAACAGATTTCCTTACACATAATAAAGATGAACACTTTTAAATAAAATTAAAGAGAAAAAATATCAGCTACTTAGGAGAACTATCCTTTATCAAACTACTTTTTATTAAGGAAACCCTTTATAAATTATTTGAATATCAAATGAAAACTGTAAGCAAGAAGCCTAAGAATTCTTTCAAGATTTTGTTTTCATAATTATTTTTACTAACATGACTGTCTCAAGCAATTTTATTTTTACATAATTTATCTATATAATATAGAGTCACCTTACATTTTTGCCACTTTTCAGTAAAAAATAAAACTAAAAAAGATGATGTTTAGAACATGCGTCACACTGAAATATACTAATATAATTATGGATATAACATCAGTTATTTTTTTAATTGTTTTTTCTTTTAATATTTTTTTTAGTTGCCAATAGACCTTTATTTTATTTATTTATATGCAGTGCTGAGAATCAAACCCAGCGCCCCATACATGCTAGGCAATCACTCTACCACTGAGCCAGAGCCCCACCCATAACTTCAGTTATATTTTTAAATAATTTTTCTTTTAAATGTTTTTAAATACTTTAAGGCAATATTTTTGAAGTATTTATCTAGAAGTATGAACTACAATTCACTGAAAATGTAAATATTCAAATGGCTGGTCAAAGAAATAATAATAATTTAAGTTGTATATATCTTCTAATTCCATTCTTACTCTCAGAGAAAACAAATCATCCTTAAAAGCCAAACAACCATTTTTGGCCTTACTGTGATCAGCGTGGTCAATCTTGTGACATCACTGTTGAGAAACCTGCAAGAGGAAGACAGAATTAGCACTTAGCTGAATCATATTTGAGTAATTTCAGAAACTAAAAAGTTTGTTTAGAACTTCTGTCTTTCTTTGATACAATACATCATATTTAAGTTAATCTAAAATATCAGGAAACATAATTGGCATAATATGAAATAAGCATAAAATACCTGGAGTTTATTTATAGATCAGTATTTATTTTAGTATGGCATGTTATGTTTTCGTTTATAATCAGAAATAACCCTGAAGTGAACAAAATATATTTTAACATAAACTAAAGGATATTTGGGTTACAGATTGTATTTATTTTCAAGTATTTATTGAGAAAATTATTGTTTTAAATATATCACAAATGGAAGATCGGTATTGTTTGTAAATACATTTATCTCTATAATTAGCTGCTCAGTTTAGAACCAAAATGTCATATATTTAATACAGGAGAAATTGGCACATGCTAATCCTTATAAATAGATCAAAAATTGAAAATATAACTGACAAGGGTCCAATATAAACTATAAACCCAAAGGAAGTTATAAATTAAGCTATTTTCTTAGCTATTAATGACTCCCAGTTTATCCCTGCAAAATGTGGCCTTTAAAATTTTCTTTATTAACAAGGCTTAATTTAAGATGAACTCTTAAATGTTTATTTAAAAAAGAACATGCTAGCCGGTCACAGTCCTGCATACCTATAATCCCAGTAACTCGGAAGGCTGAGGCAGAAAGATCTCAAAGTTCAAAGCCAGCCTCAGCAAAAGCAAGGTGCTAAGGAATTCAGTGAGACCCTGTCTCTAAATAAAATACAAAAAGTAGGGCTAAGGATGTGGCTCAGTGACCAAGTGCCCCTGAGTTCAATCCTCAGTATCCAAAACAAGAAAAGAAACACATTGTTCAGCTTGATGGTGTTTCAAAGCCTATAACCCCAGCTACTCAGGAAGCTGAGGAAGGAAGACTACAAGTTTCAGGTCAGCCTAATACTCAAAATAAAATTTAAAAAAGGACTGGGGATATATTTTAATGGTAGAGCACTTGCCACAGCATGCAAGAAGCCCTGGGTTCAATCCTCAGTACTGCAAAAAATAAAAATAAAGTAATACATTATCATTCGGTGTTAGGGTTCATAATGGACTTTCATGTTTTATTTCATTAAATCCTCAGAATAATCCCTTCAAAGAAGCAGAAAAGAAATAATTAGTATACATTTCAGGAAAAGATATTTGGAGAGGATTTATGACTTGTCTAAGAACACAAAACTGAGTTTTTCTTGGTTCCTTTTGTACCTTATATTTTCTACACTGAAAATTCATTCTGACAACTATTTTTCCTCACTCTGTCCTTTAGTACAAAATCACTGATTACTACTAGTTATCCTGTACTACTTCAAGATATTGCTCTCCAATGTTACTTGTTATAGCCTCCCTACTTCTCTTGTTTATTTATTTGTTTAGGGGGTACCACAACTCAGAGGCACTTAACCAGGGAGCCACATTCCCAGACCTTTTTATTTATTTATTTTTATTTTGAGACAGGGTCTCCCTAAATTGCTGAGCCTGGCTTTGAATTGTGATCCTACCGCCTCAGCCTGCCTAGTCACTGGGATTACAGGTGTATGCCTTGGCACCCAGCCCTATTTCTTTTCTTGATGCAGTAGCAGATAAATCAGATCACATTGCTCTCTTACTCAAACTTCACAATGGGGTATGTATGAATGTGGTTTTTGTTTCTGGTGTTTTTGTTTTGTTTGTGGTGCTGAGGATTGAACTCTGAACCTCATATATACTAGGTAAATTCTCTACCACTGAGCTAGATCCCCAGCTACAAAACTGCATAATAGTTTTACCCTCACTTTGAATAAACCCCACAAAATTTACTGTGGCTTATTAGGCTCTCTATTAGCTGGATGCCTGATTACATCTCCTACCAGTCTCTCCATATTGCACTCAAAGTCACAATGACCTTGATAATCCACAAACATACCAAACTTGTCCCATTTCAGGTCCTTGACACTTGCTGTTCCCCCTGCTTAGTGCAATTTGTTCTTCATACCTTTAGAAAACTTATTATCAATCCAACCTGGTATTAAAACAAATGCCATCATCTCAGTCTCTCATTTACCACTAGACACTGTTAGCTCCAAGTTTTGCAAGGAAAGATCATAGGAACACTACTTTAGTACCTGGAACCCAATAACTACTCAGTTGATTAGTTGCTGAATGAGTAAGTGAAACAGTGCTTATAATTCCCACTGCATCTAGCACTATGCCCAGAGCTACAGAGTATAAATTAAAAACACAATACTTACTACATATTCAAGGACAATAAGCTGTAACAACTTGGTTTAATTTTTTTTTTCTGTACTAGAGAATGAGCCCTAAGGCTCATGCATGCTAGCAAGGTGTGCTACAAATAAGTTTTATTATTTTTATTTTTTTAATTTTGAGACAGGGTCTTGCTAAGTTGCCCAGGCTAGCCTCAAACATGAGGTCCTCCTGCCTCAGCCTCACAATTAGATGGGATTATAGCCATGCTCCACCACATACTGACAACTTGGTGTATGTTTTAAAAAGCCATTGCAGGAAGAGTTTAGGACGCTTTAAAAAAAAAAAAAAAAAAGCAGGAAGTGGTTGGAAAGAAGGGATGTTGAATTATAAATATAAGATAATGAGGATGTAGATAGTTAAGACAACGAGTTGCAGATGGAATAGGAAATTTAAGACATCTTAAATGCAGGAAACAAGACCTCATGCTAAATGAAGTATCAGGAACTAGGACAGCAAAGCAAGAATGAAAGATTATGTCTAAGGTTCTAATACAATGCAAAAAACCTAAAGTGAAATGCAAGAGTGAATTATGTTTTGAACAGTAAAGATGGTGTTACTATATGCCAGTCAAATAGAGATGCTTCCAAAGCAGGAAGAAATTTGGAATAATCCAATGTTTGAAAATAAGTCATGAAAACTATAGTTTAAGCCAAGAGTATGGGCAAGTTCACCAACGTAACAGAAAAAAACAGCATATCATTTGTAACTGAATAAAAAGACAAATATTCCATTTTGCTTTTGATTTTAAAAAAGTAGAATAATTAAGACAAAGTCTAGAGTTAAAATTTTATACTTAAAGCCCTAAAGCTCATATACTGTGAGTAAAATCATTCCTTCCTTATGGTAGCAATTTTTACACATGACTTACTGGGTACTTGTAATTGCATGAGGAAAAAATTTTGATGAAATTGAAATGACTCTAGAGGATAAAGCCAGACAAATATTAAAGCTTCTCATAAAATTCCTAAGTAGTTTTTACAAGCAAAAGGTAATTCTTTAAAATCATGTCAAAACTAGGAAATGTATTCAAATTACATATATAAAAAGTAATATTACATTTTATGTAAACATAACTAATATACTGGTTATGTACTATTTCTCTACAAGTCATTATTTCAGTAAATACACACAGAGAATCTCAACTGTATTTACCCACAGAAAAACCCTACTAATGTTTGCCACCTAGTAATGTGGGAAAAGAATTTTAAATTATGCTATTGAATTCTACGTATTTTCCCAGCAATTAGCACGTACTATTCTTAATTTTACCCTCACTTTGCCCCAAAACAGAGAAAGTCTTTAGGTGATCAATTTTAGTATATTCAAGTCTTAACTTTTACATGACAGCACTGTAAGTACCCATATCTACAAAGTAAGAATATTTATCTCTATCTAACCCACTAAAAACACGGAAAGAAATGGACACTTCTTCCCTGTTTTACCCACTATTCAATATTAACATGGAAAAAATGTTCACTAGTCCCCAAAATTCATTTAAAGTAATAGTCACTATATTTGCTTTATTGTAGGCTCTTTTTAAGGTTGGTTACAAAAAGATAAATAAAAAACAGGGCTAGGCGTGTAGTTCAGTGCTTGTCTAGTATATGCAAATCTCTTGGGTTCAATCTCCAATACCACAAAAAAAATTTAAATAATTTTCAAAATTTACACATGAAAAATAATTTCACATATAATATGCTATTTGCAGGGTATATAAAATATTGTAATCCTGAATTATAGACATGGGGGAAAAAATCACAGACTCCCCCGTACCATTTTTTGGCACTGGGATTGAACCTAGGGTCTCATTATACATGCTAAACAAGCTAGACCCGAGCCTCATAGGATGCTGCTGATTTTTTTTTCTTTCCCCTCTGATACTGGGGATTAAACCCAGAGTCAACCTGCCACTGACTATAACCCCAGTCCTTTTTATTGTTTATTCTGGGACAGGGTCTCACTAAGTGGCCCAGAGTAGCCTCCAACTTGTGATCTTCACATCTCAGCCTCCCAAGTCACAGATATTATAGGTGTGCACTACCACGCCCAGCTACAGTATACTTTTATATGACTAATATGAATAAGGAACTGACTTTTAAATATGTAGTTTTTTAATTTAACAGTTATATGTAACTTGTGGCTACTATATTAGATGGCACAACTATGTACTTTTTTTTTTTCTTCCAGTGCTGGGGATTGGCCTTTAGGCATGCTAGGCAAGTTCTCTTACCATTGAGCTATACCCCTCAAGCTCCACATTTATGCATTTCTCAAACAATACCAATGCTGAACTATATAATGATGTTTTTAAATATCTGAAAATTTGGGCCGGGGTTGTGGCTTAGTGGTAGAATGAGTGCTTGCCTAGCATGTGTGAGAAACTCAGTTCAATTCTCAGCACCACATATAAATAAATAAAAACTTCAGACAAATGTCCATTAACAACTAAAAATATGTTTAAATTTTTGTTTGAAAATTTATTTTCTAGAGGTTGGGGGAATAGCTCATCGGTAAAGTAGGTGTATATATATGTACAAGACCCTGAGTTCAACCCCAGCACCATCAAAAAACAAACAAATAAATAAATAAAAGGGAATTATCTCTATTTTTAACAATTGGAGGGTGGAAGGAACAGTCTCAATTCTGATAGAATACACTCATTTCAGTAAAGTTCCAAATT